CCCCCCCCTCCTTGGCGCCAAAATACGGAGAAAATCCTAGGAATTACGGGGTTTGGGCATTACACGAACTACGGGGTAGACACCAACTCCAACCATTAAACCACCACCTACTGACAATTGCAGTTAGTAGGGACTCAGTATCTACATGCTACTAACCCAACAGGGAGTACGCTCAGTACTCACATTTTGGACTCCGCTTAACGCTAGTCAGAGCTAGCTTGAGAACCGGTGCGCTTTTAGTCTCTTAGTTCTTTTTGCCCAGCGTTTAGACCAGATTACCTGTAATAGCAGCAGCAGGGGCAGAAGGGAAAAAAAAAATCAAATAAAAGAGAGAAAGAGAACGAGAGAATAAGACTATGCTGTCCATTCACCATAGTGACCCTCCAAACCATATGAAAATTTTAATACCAAAGAAAGTAACACTACCAAAACCACTCAACTCTTAGTGGATAGTAGTAGAAGATAACTAGTAAGACCTGAAACACAAACCACCAAACATTCCGAACAGCGGGATCATCCCGCTTCCTATCTATCTATCCTTCCTCAGCCCCGGCCATACGGCGCGTGGCTTGAGCACCAGCACCAGCACCAGCACCAGCACAGCACAACACACTAAATCCCAATTAGTCCACTTTTTCCTTCAGTAAGAAGCAACTAACTAAATAAGTAATATGTCGTATCTTAGTATCTAAAAGGAACTAAGTACTCTACCTGGCTCCTGCAATCCTAGCCGATGATCCCATCCCTGCCCGTCTGCCCGCCCGTCTCTCTGTTTCTCTGTTTCTCTCCCTATCTTTCTTCCGGGGTTTAGGCTCTCGGGATTTACATTACGATTGGCACGGCGCATGGATTATGTGCGTATGTATGTATGTATGTATGTATGTTTGTCACAGGAGGATGGTACGTATTTGTTGCATGCTGGGAAGGGGGGAAATTGGAATTATGAATTAGAATCTGGGGATTAATTGCATCATTGTGCTTGAGTATCTGTCATTCTTGCATGCCGGATGGGTTTCGGGTGAGGGAGGAAGGGGGGTTTACTGTAGGGGTTGATGTTTGATTTGAGATAGATGGGAGATTTGATTGATTATGGTTGCTTGCTACTTTCTTGCAGGAGGTGTCTTGTAGGTACTACTGTATTAGGTAGGGAGGTTGTGGTGTGGTAGATAAAATGAGGTGGGATATTTCGCTAATATAACTATATCTGTGTATGGTATTGCAGAGATTGAGGAGTTGGGAGTAACAAAGACATGGTATGGTGTATGTAGATCATTTGTGTCGTCTTTCACACAATCGAACCCAAACGGTAAACAAATAAATCCCCTCCCAGATAACAAATCAAGATAAAGCAAGTGCAGGGTATCATAGTAGGCTAGGCTAAGGTAGCAAGCAAGTAATTCTTTCAAATCAATTTCACAAAACAGTAATGGTATCTCCAATTTCAACAGCAGAAAGTTCCTCGGTGCGGTATGGTGCGAGTGGCGGGGATGGAAGGAATTGGATGATCATCATTGAGCGGAGCGCTGTTCGCATGGAGAGTGGGACTCTGCTCAACGAGATGATCATCATCATCAGCCCTCGCCCCTCGCCCCTCCCCCCTGCCTGGTCGGTGACACCGCCACGCGGCCCCGCGCCAATACACATCCCAATTCCACATGTTGAATTTAATATTCGCGTAATGTAGGGCGCGTTGCGGGGTTGGGGGGTAAGGAGGTTCGATCGTTGCAGTCGCTGGTTTGTATGTTTGCTTTGCGACGGCATATGTGTCGCGCCAATTTGCGAAATAATCGGCAGGGCACCGAGGAACACAACCAGGTTCAATAGCTAGTATCCATATGGGGAAAACGGGTGACGCAGGAGTACAGGATCAACATGCGCAAACCCTCACTCAATCAAACACAACAAAGAATCAACAATCTGTGCCAGCACAGTAACATTGGTCCCGAGTAATGCATTGTTGGGTTGAGTAAACGGCGAGGCGAAGAAAAGGTGTAGAACCAGCGTTTGTCACGTCAAAAGTCGGCTTTGTTATTTCGCTCCCCCTCGCCCGTTGCGGGATCCCACCATCGAGCTGAAACCGGGGTCGAGCGGACGAGAAATTTGTGTCACTTTGTCGGCGGTGGCAGTGGTAGTGGTGTAGTTCCTTCTCTCGTTCCCTTGACTTCGTGAAGAAATGTGGGTTGGTTGGCTAGTTCGATTTGAGGGCTTCAGCGGATGAAGCCGACCATGGATGCGCAGCGACTGCAATAGTAGGAATTCATGCCGAAACGAACCACGCCGGGAGAGGATTCGTTTTCGAGACTCATAGATCGTTGACAGCGAGAGCAGCGCACAATGTCGAAATTCATGGAGCCGGGGGTCGAGCCTGTCGGGGAAGTGACCCCCTTTGTGGCGCCGGAAGGTTGCGGTTGAACTTGCACCGAGGAAGAGCTCATCTTCTCCTTTCCGCTCCGGTTGAGGGTTCGAAAGAAAAAAAGATGAGCTTTGTAGTGGCCAGTGAAGTTGAGCGCAATTTCGATATCCAAAGTTCTGCAATATGGGGGACCGTAAAAAGGTCGAAAATGGTTTTGGAGAATTGGGGGGGTGGGAGGGGAGGATGAGTGGTTATTTAGGCACGTTCAACTGGGTGGCGGAGTCGATTAGATTGTCTTGGGAAAACACGGGAATACAACGGCGATAGCGTTGTATGGTTCTGACAGTGCCCGGGTAGCTTTGGTAGCTTTGGTAGCTTAGTAGGCAGCAGATATTGACCACGTGTGAAAGGAACAACAAGAAGGAGGAAGGATAAGTTCCAGACGACCGTGAAATAATAGGCAGAAGAGTTAAAAAGGAGTGACCGGAGAATCGAGCTGGGTTGGGAAGTAGTGACTGAAAGGTATCTATACTACCAGAGCCCAGCGCCAAGCGAAGTGCTCAGGGTCAGATCGATCCACTTTTTTCCGCGCCTGTTTTGCACCGGCCTTGAGCTAGTTGGGTAAAATAATAGTCCTTTATATTATTTTCTGACGAGGCACAGGGGAAAGGAGGAGGCGGCGTTTGGCGGAGGGCGAAAAAAAAAAAAAAAATAAAAAACAAAAAAAGTATATATATAAAAAATAGTGATTTTTTTTGTCTCTCTTTTAAAAATAAAATCGACCCAAGACAGGGGGACGGTCGAACTTCAAGAGACTAATAATAAGAATGAGGCTAGCAATTAATACCGATTGAGGGATAAGGCAGCCGATAGTTCTTGGGAGAAAGCTGCTGCTGCTGCTGCACGGAATGTGGATGCCAGTTTCAGAGTTGAATCTGGAGGATGTCAACCATGAGAGATGGAGGAGGGAAGGCGAGGATCAGTCCTTCATGTATGTAGGCCGGATTCCTCTGCGATGGAATGACGATGTCAATATCCTGGTCTCAGAATGTTGTAGAACGACGACATGCCATGACATGAGAGGTGGCCGACTCTTATGACCTGAACCTGTTGAGAGGGGGGGAAGTTGTGTGTCTTGTCTTGTCTTGTCCTGTCCTGTCCTGTCCTGTCCTGTCCTGTTCTGCTCTGCTCTGCTCTGGTCGGGTTTTGTCTCACAGCTTGGCCGTAATTTCAGTTCCGGGTCGTCTGGAGGTACCAGGGCATGCTGGAAGTTACCAGACGGTTACAGACACCATCCAATGGTGCGTTGACTGAACCCGTTTCTTTCCTGCCTTGAGTTTCCTGCCCTCCCCGGTCGCATTATGGTTATTCGGGGACCAGTAGAGTCGATCGATTAGAGATCGGTCGACAATAATGATGTGATCTTAATTCATTGTCCTTTATTATATTTTACTTTTTGACTTTCAACTGTCCTGTCGGTCAATTGTCAAGCAATGCCCAGTATCCTGCATAGATTACAAGCCACTACTTTACGTATGTAGTCTCTTAGGGTTCTGGTTTTATTCTGGCTCTGTTAATAGTGCAGCTGCCACAGGACTGACCTAACTACTAGATCATCACCAGCCTATAACTAACTGTACTTTTACTTACGCGTGCCTATACCTCACATGCAGGCCAGCGAGGCTTGGTTTGGCTGCGTCAACCACCCCTCGTCCGCCCATCGTCGCTTTTCTCCCTCTCGTTGGTGCTTCGCTCCCAAAGCCGAGGGTCGTGTCGTCATGACTGATCCTGGTGGATGGAGTCGTCCGGGGCGATCGCCTGGACGGTTGGGTACCGGTTTCGATCTGCCATTCTCCTCTTCCCTCAGGAACACTCGTGGCCTTGCTGTACTTGTGGTTCAGCAAATGAGAGCCCGAACGGCCGGTAATCGGCGTATCGGTTCGTCCTCGCTGGTCACCTCCACCACCTCCACCGTTCCGTTCCCACTGTCTTTCATGCCTTAGTCATGCTGAGTCCATACAGCGCACGAGATATGGGTCTATTGGAATTTTTGCGAGGGCATATAAAAAAAGGTGAAAATTGAGAATGAGAATACTAAGTGGACCATTTTCACCTTGGCGGACCATGGGGTACCCTGGTGCCCTGGTTCCTTTTTTTTTTTTCTGTGGCTGCCTGTCGCCCTGTCACTGCTTAACCCAGCTAAACCTCCATTGAACAAGTGTCAGTCCTCAAACTCGATGCTGAGTGGGTGAACCATGATACCTTTCTCGGGTCTCCCAAGCTGTCGGAAGTACGGCGCTACCAGGAATCTACCATGGTCATGTTTCCGGAAGATCGATTGCAGTCTGCGATTGGCAGACCATGGATCGTAGCTATCATCATCATGATCTCTCCATGACAACCAGAACCCTGTCGATTATTCATCCTTCAAAAAGGTCCCTTTTGGTCAATTTACCATCAAAGAATTCCGTACAAAGGTCAGGCATGAACCCACCATTCGCTAATATTACCTCAGCCTCGTGCAAAGGCCTGCGGCTGTGTTGCATACCGTGACTCGCGAGGCGGTTACGGGCTCCACCCCGGGCGTTTCAGACTCTTCTGTCAGACATGAAAGGACCCCCTCCAGTCGCCATGTCCATCATTCCTCGCAGGTTTTATCGGGCAGTCGATCCATGTTGTCCGGTTTAAGGCATTTGGACAATTTCATCTTCCTGATGCAATATCGGTGTAGGCATACGGACCATAGGAATGTTCTACCGGCTCGGGCCTTTCCCAGCTGCCTAACTAATCAGTAGCACCAACCCTTCTGAGTTATCCATCCGGGCGCAGTGGACATTCCTTGATCGCCCGTCACTCGGCTTTCAACGGAACCCGTTTCCGTGCTCTCACTCTGCGCCGTCGTTTGTCGTTGCTGCACCCCGGGGGCTAGCGGATGGTCTGATCCATTTTTTCCCTCGCCAGCAGGCTGGCTGCTGGATGCTGGTGCAAAAATACCTGATTCATTTCGTATCTTGAGTTGCGCTTGGGTGCCCCCAGCTAAAGCCGGCTTGTCTTGGTAAGTGTGGCTAGCGAGCTAGCTGCAGTCGATTTCTTCTTCCTTCACAGTGGGGAAAAGGAAACCAAGCCGAAAACCCCGAATCCCTACTCCCGTTCCCCTACCCTGCCATGCATTTGGGGGAGGGGACGGAGTGAGCTAGTTGGCCTCGGATCCATGCCTGCGGTGTCCAGCATCGCAGATGCTTGACTCCTTTTTCCTTCGTGCGTGTGCGTTTTGAGGACCGTGAGATCCTTGAGGCATTTTCTGCTTATGTACGGGGTAAGATTCTTGTGCTATTTTTGTTGATCTCTCTCTAGTTTCGTAGTGTCCGGTAATTCGCCGATCCGCGATGGCCCTGCAACTACAGACTACTAGATGCCTTGTCCATCCCAGCATCACGGCTAATTGCCAAGAATGGGAATGATGACAGCTATGGACTTTGAGTCGGATGTTCACTTTGGTGACCCCAACCACCAACCACCACCCCGGAACGCTTTGCTGTCTGTACCTAGCAATCCATACAGCACTCCACCTGTACTTCATTCCCCTCTTCAACCCCACTTTGGAAAGGATGATGCTGGCTGCTGCTCCAGATGCAGCAGTATAACCAGTAGCCACATCCTATAGTCTTCCAATTGTGCATACGGGGACTGGAAAGACAGGTCGTCTGGTGCAGAGGGAACGATGCACGGCAGGTCCGTGTCACCTGATATGCCTTGCCCATGCGTCTTTTTCTGTCAAACGGACATAGCCACGAGTGATGGCCTATGGGAATTTTGACGTACTCTGGGACTAGGATCACGGCCTCAGACAAAAGAAGTAAACCTGCATACTTTACCGTGCGTAAAACTATCACCCCGGACCCATGCATTGGCCGTATGGAAACAATGTATGTATTGAGATTGATACCATACTCACGATCGCTACCGGGTGTTGCGGAAGTCAGGCACATGTATTCTTCTTTCTCAAGAGGGCCGCTTTTCTTTCTGTTTCCATGGCGATTCAGAGGATGGCTTGCTTGACTTCCGGGCTTTTCCACATCTTCTTCAGGCTCTTACGGAAGGAAAAAGAAGAGGGCCATTGCCGTGGTGCCGACCTGCACCGATGCACTGATACCGCTAGTTTAGGGTAGTCACCGGGTGCCAGCATCGCCTTATGGAGGTCATCCTACTGCTGGACTCTCCTCTGGCATCTGCAGGATGGTGTAATCGCGCGTGAGCATCCGGTCCGCACCCCGTTGGCGGTAATGCACGAGGACTAAAACGTCAGTGCCTACGACTTGTCCTATCTAGTTACTTTGTATCTTCTTTCCATCTTGAGTGGTGGTGTTCAACCGCCGAGGGTCCAACACTGCCAATCACCATCGGTAAGGCGTTAGTCACAGTGCAGCGGTAACTCACTAGTTAATTAGTTAGTTATTTAGTTAGCAACACTCTGTACTAGACTAGTTCAGAAGTGGATAGTTAGCAAGTCGTAGTAGGAGAGTATCTCGTCAGCAGATGAAGCTTCCCAGTTCCTGCTGCTTCGAGACAGCGAGACGTTACGGTGACATCATCTCACATGCATCCGTTCTCTTTCGTATTTGCTTCCCCTCCATTGAAAGACCAGGAACGGACGAGGCATCAAAACAGGGAATATCCGCAATTCATAAACAGTGGTGTCTTTTTCAGTTTTCCCGTCTCTTCAGAAACTTCCGAGGTGGGATGAGGGCATAAGACGAGCGAGAGAGAACCTCGCCGAATATCCGAGCCTGAGGGTCGAGATAAGACTTCCTCTTGTCGAGCGGGTTACAGTCCATTGAGCTCGTTCCTGCAACAGAGCTTCCCTTCCCACCACCCCGTGTTATGGCATCAACAACGACGTCATGGTTAGGGTCTGGGACTGCCAGATCTTCCCCCCCCCAACTGACCATCGCGCAATTCTAGACTATCTAGACTACAAACCACAGTATCAACTGACAAACCGACTATGTAACGAGTGACTCGTCAATCCATGGGAAGCGACCGTCACTAGCGTCTTCCTGACGAAGATTGGGTTTCCCCCCCCTCTTCTTCCCTATCTCCCAAGGAATAATGCTTTTCACATCATGATGCTGTAAGAAAAACAATAATAATGATGATGGGGGTTTCCTGGACTGGCTTGTGGATGGCGCAGGAACGTGTTCCCAGTTGCGCCCGGGTTGTGATTCGCTTTCGGCAGGTACGGAGTCTTTCCAGCGTCTCCTCTACTGCCCCGCCACACCCCGCCTGAAGCTGTTGACCGAAAACCACAACCACCACCACCACTAGCTAGCCAGCGACCGAGAATACTACTACTACTACCCTTTCTTCTCTTCCTACAACTCGTGAATTTTCCCATCTTACATCTCCCCCCTCACCTTTCATCTCACCCACGTCTTATCTAGCCGTAATAATGGCCGGATCTGCCCCCAACCTCTACAGCTTCCTCAGCAACGACGCTTTGGCCCAGCAATTGAGGCCCTACGTCCTGCGGTGTCAGAACTCGGCCCTCAGCCGTCACAGCACATTCCGCGTCGCAGTCTCTGGTGGCTCCCTTCCGAAAGTTCTCGCCCAAGCTCTATTGGCCCCTGGAAATGGATCCCCCGAAGATACCGCTCAGTTCTCCAAGTGGGACATCTTCTTTGCCGATGAGCGCGCCGTGCCCCTCGATCACGAAGACAGCAACTACCGCCTGCTGAAGGAAGAGCTGCTGAACAAGATTCCCTCGGAGCTGGGTGCCCCGACCGTGCACACGATCGACGCCGATCACGTCAACGATGAAGACCCGCAGGAGCTGGCGGATTTGTACCAGGAAGAGCTGATGCGCTCCTTTGCCGCCAAGGATAGCGTCAAGCTGCCCGTTTTCGATCTAATCCTTCTGGGATGCGGCCCCGACGGCCACACTTGCAGTCTCTTCCCCGGACACGAATTGCTGCGGGAGAAGGATGCCTGGGTGGCTGCCATCAGCGACTCTCCTAAGCCGCCCCCGAAGCGCATTACCTTGACTTTGCCCGTGGTGACGCATGCCCTCAACATCGCCTTTGTTGCTACTGGCGGTGGAAAGAAGGATATCATGAAGCAGATTTTCGACGCCGAGGAGGGGAGAGACCTGCCCTCCACTCTCGTCAACCAGGGTGGTGGCGAGAAGGTGAGCTGGTTCACCGATAATGCGGCTGTGGAGGGAGTCGCTTTCCCCCGACGTGGAAGCCTGTAACGTATGGGTAGAAATTGGTACGAAATTACTTCGATATGATGGCTGGGGTGAAGGATAAGGAGAGAGTCATGGCGAGGCTACGGAAGGATTCAACTAATCTCAAAATGGGCCCCTGGGCTTTACTGTCATTCGACCACCTGTATTACCAGAGCAAGGGGGGCACGGCTCAGGAACACGTACGTTCAAGGCTGGATGAAGTGTTCATTGCCTCTTATCTTCTATCTGTTGGAGAGTTTCTTTTAGACTTGCCAAAAGTTTGTGTTATCGTTATCCTTCTGATATCACGGACGGGTCTTAATTGAACGATTGACGGGGATCCAGTAATCATCATTCCAGTTATTTGTCTCTAGTACTAATTAGTGAGATGCAATTTCACCTATCTCTGAAGTATCCATGTAGATAGATGTAGGGAGTGAATGAATGATAGCTGTCCATGCAGATGCGCCCGATCCACCTGACGCAGTGCCAAGCTTTGCCCTGGGGGAAGCGGAACTTCACCGCAAGACGGGCAACCACGGACCTGCCGTCCTCAGCTGAGCTCAGGCCTCGTCTATTTACAACGACGGTTTCCGGGCAGCGTATCTATTTTCCCCGGCGAGGCCCCATCTTGGACTGATCTGATAGCTACCTAGTCGAATGTCACACACATATGATTTGATCTTCAGCAATCATGCCAATTCCAACGCGTTCCCTTTCGCTTCGTGAGCCCCGCAAACAGGTTAGTGTCGCATCTGTTAGTAGCTCATTCCACCATCCCCCCCCTAGCGCCTGAGAGCCACCATCCCTCGCATGCTTTCCCTTTCTACCAACACTACTGACGTCTGTTATCATCATCAAACAGAATTCTACTACAGTGCGCACAACGACAACGACAACAACAACAACAACGGGTAAGCCGGCATCCACGACCTCGACATCAGCAACCAGCACATCTTCCAGTGCTGCGACCAGCACTGAGAACCTCGTGACTCGGAGCAAGAGTCTTTTGCCTGTTCGCGATGAGGGACGTGCGACAAGACCTTCTCGTTTACAACAACCGTCTGAACCCCGCGTAGCGCAGAGGACTAGCAAGGCCTCGGATAAGGCTCCGCAATCGCAGCCCGCCCAGGAGAATACCGGTATAACCCGTCGCCAAAGCCTGATCAGACCGAGCCCGCTAAAGCCCTCCGCACCTCTGAAGCCTACCTCTGCCTCGTCAAGAAGGCCTACTGTTGCTCCGAGTCCATCATCGCCGGTTAAACAGGAGATACCCTCGAGGCAGAATGGACGGCCTTTATCGCCGAAGAAAACCGAGACACTCTCGAGACAGAATGGTCCGCCTTTGTCCCCGAAGAAAACTGATATGCCTCCGCCCCCGCGACTTGCCCGGTCGGCTTCTCTCAGACAGCCTGCTGCCCCGAGCTCGAGCACACCGACAGTGACTAGAGGTCATGCGCGGCATCGCAGCCAGGGAATCGCGACACCTTCGGGGGGTCAATCTCCGAGAAAAGTTGACCCTCCTTCGCCTTTCCCTACCTCCGCCACTGTACGGTCACGGGCTCAGCTCTCGACTTATCAACAACCGCTCTCCCCAAAGAAGGTGGCTAAGCCAGCGACTGCAACACAAGCGGCAGCTCCGCCCGCCGTGGATGCGGATTCTTCGTTACTTCCCTCGTCTTGGCCGGAGATTGCGGCGCTACAAACAGAGCTATTACAATTGAGTTTGGTTCACCTGTCTTCGTGCAAACAGCACAACGAATGGGAGACTACCGCGGAAGCACGACTACGGAGGGATTATAATTTGGTGGCAGGCGATTATCAAGCGGCCTTGGCCGATGAGAAGGAGTACCAGAGACAGCTCAACGGGCATGCGTTGCATCACTGGCTTGAGAACACGCGTGAGCGCAATGGACAACGAGGCTTTGCAGAGCAGATCCGCATACTTTCTCAGGTGGCAGAGGAGGTCTACAATTTATCCGACAACTTGGACGGCCGGCACACAGTGGCTGTCCAGGAATTCGAAGTCTGGTTCCAAAGAGTCGAGGAGATCCGGACAATCCGTTTTCATCATGGTCGCAACTTGGACCAGGTGGTCTTTATCGATCCTCTGAACCATGGGTGGCGGGACGAGACATCTGCTTTGGTCATGAAGCTTGAACTGTGCCTGAGACAGCTGCAGAGCTTGGACATTCTTGGATATGGAGATCCGGGGCCTTTAGGCGACTCCGCGCTGTTCCGCACAGCAAAGGGTCTGGAGGAAATGGCCAGCATGATGGTTGAGGAGCTGAACACGATCCGTAAGATTGAAAGCGACGTCGTAAAGTCAGAGCGCGAGTGGGTTAGTCAGCTGGCCCGGCAATTGACTGCAAATCAGGCACATGATCAGAAGCGCCCAACAGTTGGAATGTGGAGACGGCCGTCGTTGAACTCATGAACTTTGTGCTGTATGCCGAAGAATTGCGAAGAATTGCAGTGAAGGTTGAACTGCAGAGTTACTTGTCGCGGTCAACCTGATCCGTTACTGAACCCCATGCTAAACCCTATCTTCCCCAGGGGTATGGCATGCAGTTTGCTGCTTCTGCCGGATCTACTAGCGTAAGCGGATTCGAACCATGGGAGCGATTCGCAGGCACCGTCTGCATAGCCAGGCATGCATGTGTCATCCAAGGGCCCAAAAACCGGTTCTCGCAGAAGTCCAGTTTTCAACGAGAGCGCAAATCATTCGCCAAAATTTTGCGCTAGCCCTTCCTAGCCGGCTTCTGGCCAGCGGCCGGACAACATTCGGGGTGCTTAACGATACTACGGCCGGTTATCGTGGCCTGTTGAGATTCTAGAAGCTCAACCATCCCACCTTAATTCTTGATTTTTGGGACACGGCCGGGGCAAACCTGTTCGCCCGACCAGCGGCCTGTCGCGCGCTTGTGACGAAAAGGGAGAAAGGGAGGAGGAGAGTGCAATGGCCTAGGTTTAGATCCCCTCATCCGTGTTCGGGGTGTCTGTTGTCTGCATGTTCCATGACAGTCTAAGATGTTCTTTTCCCCTCCAAAAAATCGGTCTGCGCTGTGTGTGAATCTGTGCTACCAATGGCCATGTTTCACCGCGGAAAAAGGTCTACAGCAGCGCAGGCCTCGGCTCGCGACAAGCATGATTGATTTGACCGCTGGCTACATCAAGCTCTGCCTTGTGTTATTCCGCGGACGCTGTGCACATCCGTGCAGATCGGTTGGGTTGAATGTGGAACCCTCCAGTGTCTGGTGATGAGCCCAATGTACTAAGGAGAAGAGGAGGAAACAGGTTCTTCTCGGTCCATTTCCTGGCCGAATTTGTCAGACCTGGGATTGGAGCGCTCCGATGTAGGCTCACCCTTCGCGTATAGATACTGTTGAGGTAAATAGTAATGATTCACCTCTTTATTGCTCCCCTGAGAGAATGTGAGGGGTAGATGACGATCGATTCTCCGAGGCGTAAGAGGGAGGACAGGGAGTGTATTGCGTAAATTGCTCTTAACCGGGGAGTAGGAGGATGGGATGACCGGCTTTCTGACACGAGGTTCAGTTTATATACAACTGAATCCTGCCATCCGCCAAACTCCCCATTTTAGCGCGGTCAGTGACTAAGCAACGTGGGGAGAGGTGTCGTCATCGCCGTTGGTCTTTCCGAAGCATCACCAGAACTGGAACGGGATTGATGCTTCTGGATCTTCGAACTTTTTTTTTTGGAGTGACACCCTCGGGTGGTATTCTACCCTAGTCAACCCGGTCAAGCTTCGTCTAGAGCCAACAGTAGTAACCTCCCCTCCCTCCTTTCTAATCCACCACTCAGTTCAACTGAACAAGCAGACAGGCTCCACTCTCAGCGGTGTAACTGCCTCTGGTCAACGATGCCTATCGCTTCAGCTACACACCTTCGCAGCTGGAGCCCAACAGACTACTGTGGGATCTAATGCACCTCCTGGCGCTGGCCCTCCTCCCCTTGTGCATTGGAGTCACTCTCGACTCGGTTCATCGACGATCGGGGACTCTCCCGAATGGGTAAGACTAGATGTGCTCGGGAATCCTGTGGGAGAATGGAGGAAAGGAACGAGGGTCATTGGATGACTTTCCTTGTAGGATGGAGGAGTAGGTGACAGTTAGTTAGTTAGTTTTCTCTGTAGCAGCAGTAGTAACTATTTAGTGCTATATAAGTCCAGTCCTGTATCGTCCGGAATTCTTTCCCTCTCTTCCTTCCTCTCCCCAAAATTGGAGACATACTGCATGTGTCCTGCAAAGTACTAGCTCGGGGCTATCTACTTCGTCTGCGTCTTTCATTCTTCTTACTATTATTATATCTTTTTAATTCAATTTTTTTTTCTTTTCGACTCGTAAAGATGAACCAACAGTGATGAGTCCCAAAGTCTATGCAGTGCTTGACGTGGTTGTGACCTGAACTGGTGGTTCTCTTCCTCCCCCCGATAATCTGGCCCCGGTGGAGCTGAGCAGTTGGTGGTTCCTTTTCCCCTCTTGCTTGCTTGTTCTTCCCGCAAGTCTTCTGTCTCTCGTTTTTCTTTATTATTCTCTAAAAACAACTCTCTTTCGTGCCCGCTCTGTCTGTCCTCTTCGATCTGATTACTTCCGCTTCCTCTCCAATTAACGGGAGAAAAGTACGACAAAGTGCCAACGATACTACCCACTGTCAACTTGCATAGACCGTCATCTTCTTTCCCCCAACGAACCCCAGTTACTGCTGGTACGCTACAGCCCACCCCACTTTTATTCTGCCTTTCTTTTCTTTCATGTTTTGCTTTGACGATCACTGCTTGCCACTGTTTTCAGCCCTAGATGTTTTTTCGAGCTATTGGTGTTGATTGATTGCGTTGTGTTGAGGGATGCCTTTGACTTGTCAATTCCCGAGGGAATAATAATGTCTGGACCGTTCGCCATCCTCCCGTCACCACCTTAGCCTTTTTTTCTCCTCACTCTCCTTTTTCGTCTTGCTGTCTTCTCTTCCTCTTGGAATCTCTCACGCTTTTGACACTGACCCTACTAGCCATACCTCTTTCTTTTCCTTTCTTTCCCTCTGGCACTGTGATCTTGCCCCTCTCCTGACTAGCTTATGTCTACCCTTACGCTCGTGAGCTTTGCGACGCGATTTGCGCACGTTTGAGTCTGACGTCATTGAAGGTGTGGCAGCAGCAAACTTCCACTGCGCGCAATGCTTCGATCTCGCGTCGCCTGATCGTCCACCATCTGTCGCCTATTCATCGTCCCAACCATGAAGGAATCGCTTTATGATCGCATCTGGCGCCGGGAATTGGGAGAGGACTCCCGGTTCGCAAGCATTCATGGCATTTATGGATCCAAGGATTGGGTGGAAAACCTGGATATTGTGAACGAACTGGGTGGGCATTCGGGCTGTGTGAATGCCTTGAGGTATGCTAGTATTGCGCCACGTTTTTAATTTAAGTACTTGGAGGAATCCTTGTAGTGGAGGATCCTCTCTGGCAAAATGCATCGCTTCTGACGCTGCGCAGTTGGTCGCGGTCAGGCCAGCTTCTAGCTTCGGGCTCGGACGACCAGCACTTGAACATCTATTCCTACCAACCCGAATCTTCCACCGCGCCGTTCTCCCTGAATACGACCGTCGCTACGGGTCACAGCGCGAACATCTTCTCAGTCAAGTTTATGCCACACTCCAACGATCGAACTCTAGTGACTTGCGCCGGCGATTCCCAGGTTCGCATCTTTGACATCGAATATTCCAGCAATGGCAGCAACAGTGTGGACGCCACTTCTGCCTTTTCTGCATCTGCACGGAGCCGAAGGTTTAACAACTTTTTCAACAATGCGCGCTACCTAAATGCGGGGAATACCAACGTCAGAGTTTATCGCAGCCATGCCGATCGGGTTAAGCGGATCGTTACTGAATCATCGCCGTATCTCTTCCTGACTTGCTCGGAAGATGGCGAGGTTCGCCAATGGGACTTACGTCAACCATCGTCCGCCTACCCAAAGCCACGAGGCGGCCAAGGATACATGGCTTTTCGACCGGGACAGGACCACGACGACTCCAACGTACCGCCTCCGCTGATTTCCTACAAGAAACACCGACTCGACCTCAACACCATCTCGTGCTCCCCGAGCCAACCACATTACATTGCGCTTGGCGGGGCCCACCTTCACTGCTTCCTCCATGACAGGCGCATGCTGGGTCGCGACTTGATGGCGGAGAGGGGTGATCCGGGTGCCTCGCCTGGCAGTAGTAGTCATGGTGAGCAGCTGATGGATCAGGCGACGCGGTGTGTGCGGAGGTTCGCCCCTAACGGTCAGCAACGAATGAAAACGCGCGATGACGGCCATATCACTGCCTGTAAGATTAGCGACGCCAACCCAAATGAGATGGTTGTCAGCTGGTCCGGCGATCACATATATAGTTTCGATTTGATTCGGAGCCCGGATGCAAGGGAGGATGCGTCCAAGCGCCAAACCTCCGCCCGGACGACACCGGTCCCGCGTCGGCGCCGAGGCTCTAAGACTAGGAAGCGTAAGCGACAGAATGGGACCTCGATGTCCTCGCAGTCCAGCAGCAATCAGACTCGACCTCGCCGTCGACCCAGAGAGCGACCCGATGAAGGCGAGCTGGCCTTCCGAGTCCGCTATGGCAATGGCGAGTTGGAGGACATTCCCCTCCCGTCTCTCACCGAACACCACGCCGAGGTCCCCCAAAGGTTGCTGGAGCAGTCACGGTTGTCTGTCCTTAATGACGCGCAAAGGCTCAGCATGCACATTGCCAAGGACATGGTCAAGCTCCGTAAAGCAATGTTTTCGCTGGAGACGTCCTTACGCGAAGAATATGAGACCTCCAATCAAGCTGACCTGACACCGTTCACCGAGTCCTTTTCCACTGCACTAACCCTTGCTTCCATCTGTCTCCCACAGATGGATGAGATTATGCGTACCTGGCGATACCCTGTCAATCCTACGCCCGACATTGTGCGCTTCCAGCAAACCTTGCGGCGGAACCGACAGACCTCCTGGCGGTTCATTCAAGCTGCAGGCACATTAGCACGAGTTCTAGGGGGTGAAATCCAAAACACCCCCGGAGATGTAGATCGTGACATGGAGCCTTTCCAACAGATACACCCAGCCTCGCTCGAACGCTCGGTCGATCATAAGGAGCAGTTTGGATACGATTTCATCAAGGCTATACTACTCTTTGTAGAAGGTGGTCGCCAGGCTCTTCTGGCAGGTTTCAAGAAAGATGCAGCATCCCGAGGTAACCTATCCAGATTTCCGGTAGCTGAGAATGCGGATGAAGATGCAATCGAGACCGTCTTGATTCCCTACCTGCAGAGACTGGCGGGGGATGTACCTGTTGTGAATGTGGACGCCTCGCGATTTGAACATGATGACGCTCGTATCCTCTTCCCAACTCAGCGCCACGCCGTGGCCGCCTTTGCCAATGTTGTCAAATACCCCGTTGAAAACCTCGTAGATACGGACCCCAACATGCGCAATGGGACTTCAACGGAGCCCCCTAGTCGTACCCACGACTTGTTCCAGTTAACACAGTACTGGGTTTTCAAGGTGGCCCGTGGTGTCCTTCTGGAGACCGGAACCGGGGTAAATTATGCGTTTTTTAGCCGGGCTTTTGGTGGCCTGCGTACGAGGGTGGAAAGTGACTCCGAATCCGAAGTGGAACCCGAGAGATCACAAAATGATCTCGAAGCTAATGTCGAAGAAGAGCCCATCCGCGATGTTAATCTGAAAATACTCCGGAGGTCGCATCTTGCTACTCGAGAGAGTTCGGAGGTAGAGACAGGCGAGTCATCAGGGGTGCAGACACCACTGTCCGATGATGACGACGAAGAAGAAATTGCTTTGGCATTACCAGATATCATCGATGATGACAGTGAGAATGAGGTTGGCCTTCCCATAGCGGAAGAGGAGGAGCAGGATGAGGAAGAAGACGAAGACGAAGACGAGGAGGATGATGACGATGAAGAGCTCGATCTAGACCTGAGCAGTTCGGCTGATGACAGTGACGACTCCGAGGCTGCTGATCATATCTTCAGGGAATATGGCCTCCAGCCCCGAGAAAGGGAATACGTGGACGTTGATGTTCCCTGTTCCTCGCACACCCGAGTCTACATGGGCCATTGCAACATAAAGACCGTGAAGGATGTCAATTACTTTGGACTGGACGACGAATACGTAGTGAGCGGCAGCGACTCTGGCCACATTTTCATCTGGGACCGGAAAACCTGCAAGCTAGTCAACATCCTCGAGGGTGATAGTGAAGTAGTCAATGTTGTGCAAGGTGAGAATATCCCCAACCGTGGCCATTTTATTTGGATTTTTGAGGGTCATTTAAGCCAACGGTCCTTTGCAGGTCATCCGTATGAACCCACCATTGCGGCCTCGGGAATCGACAACACCATCAAGGTCTTTTCATCCGATCGACGCGCTCAGGAGGATGCGCGCCGTGGAATCAACATCTTGGATCCTGACAACCCAGCCAACACGCTTGGATTGGGACCGAATGTCAGCACCATTGGTGGTCTAGGCAGTCGCAAGCGCTTGCATGATAGTTATCGCATCATGAGTCAGAACGATGTAGATCGACAAGGTGGGATGAGCGAAGCATACATCACTGTAGGTTTACCTAGATTCAGCTTTTCCGCTGCAATACAGAGCTTTGGGCTTGTGTTAACGAACAAAACAGAGGCACATGCTGGCCCGCCTGGCGGCAACCCTGCGAGACCAACGGCATGGTGTAACGGTGGGCGAAGGAGGCGAACATGCTACGCTTGTTCTGGATGATAACAGCTGCAATGTATGTGCAATATGGATTCAAATCATCTCTAAAAGCTCCCATCCCCGCCAAGCTAACTCATTGGATTCAGGTGATGTGATCTAACCTTTTTGACCGGACTAATGGGGAGATGTCTTGGGCGGCCTATTACCCGGACTGCACCCGTTGACAGGATTCGTATTTCCTTCTCTTCCTCTAACCTCTAGCTTTACCTTCGTCGATGTTATTAATATTAGATTCTAGCACCCGCGTCATCACTCTCTGTGTCTGTTTCGCGGTCGCTTCCCAGCAGTTCTGGTCACACCCGTGCATCTCGGTTTTGGAGCCATGGGCCGGCGTTTCCTGAAGGCAAAAGCAAAGCAATTGAATGAAATTATCGGACATTCTTATTCTTACCAAGTGTATAGCAGCAGAGCAGCGTAGCCAGTTATCTCAATTTACGATCGTCTTCCTGACTAGGGCTTCAAATCTCTAGAAAATATAGTTTATCACCACGTGACCCTTATCGATTCCCCCGCATTTGTCCCTCCAATTTTTGGCTTTTTTTCACTTTGCCTTCCATCTTCCCATCTTGCGCCTCGAATTCTCAGCCTCCACCTCGATTGCTGCTCGCAATTGAAAATGCAGACCCTACAGGACCGAGCGGACATCACCGCTCGTCTCTATGCTGACCCCCACAATCCGCACCTTTACTACAAACGAGGCCTTGTCCACCAAACCCTGGGCTTTCCCGATCTCGCATCCGCCGACGCATACCGCGCCCTCTCCCTGCTCGACTCGGTCGTCGATCCCGATGGCTGCGAGTTTCACGCCACACGGCGGATTCAGGATGCACCAGATACTCCCGCAACAACTGAGGAGGAGGGGGACGACGACGAGGATGACAATTTCACTCCCATCACACAAGATGAGTACGACTCCATAATCGGAGACGTCTACGCCCTTCTTGTGCGCAACTTGGTCGACTGCGGCTGTTTCCGCGATGCCTTTGAGTTCTGCGTGCGTGGACAGGGGCTCCTAGAGGACATGTCGCAGAAGGAGCGCAATACCTCTGCGCAAGCTGTGCTCAAGGACCAGCTGGCCATCATCCGGAAGAACTACGAAGCCCGTCAAGGAACCACCACCGGAGACGCCAATATCAACCCTAGTGCTCTGAACGCCCAAGGCTTCGCCCGCCGAGTCCTCTATCCCTGGAACGAGCACGAACCGGACCGCAAGTTCCCCGAGACTTTGCAGCTCCTAAACGAGCGCCTCAAGGACGTTGCGCCTAAATGCGAAGTCCGCGCCGTCGCCTTGCCCGCTTTACACGGCACCACCACCACCGAAGACGAAGTCTCTGTCCAACTCGGCCTCTTCGCCAAAGAAGTACATCGCCCCCAACGAGATCATCCTCCGCGAATCCTCCCTCCTCACCGCTACCAACCGCCTGCACGACGACCTCTGCGACGCCTGCAACGCCCCTCTCCCTGATCTCTCCTCTCCCAACCCCCCCGTCGCCTGCGACGGCTGCGCAGATACCATCTTCTGCTCGCAGGCCTGCCACGACGACGCACAGCGCATCTACCACGGCGCCGTCTGCGGCCTCATGGAGAACCTCGAATCCATCGGAAAAGACATCCCCGACCCCAAGGACAAGGCTGATTACCTCTACCTCCTTCTTCTGGGCCGCACGCTCGCCATGGCCGCTACCCAGGAGCTGCACCCGCTCGATCTCCCTGAAGTGAAATACATCTGGGGCGATTTCCACGACCTCGACCTTAACACCAATGAAAGCAGCAATGACAATGAAGACCCAACAGCAACCCTCCCCTTTTCCTTCCAGCTCAATATCCTCCAACCAATGCGTTTCCTAGAAGAAATGGAAATAGACCCCTACGTTGCCCTCCCCCGCTTCGACACCTGGGTCCTGAATACCCTGTACGCTAAGTTCCGGGGCACTGCGTCGGGCCGGCTCTCGACGTGGGACGGTGGCCCGGAGCTCTGTGCTGTGCACCCGCTTTGGTGTCTGGCGAACCATTCTTGTGATCCGAATGTCAGGTGGGAGTGGGGCGGGGAGATTACGTTCCGGGCTAGGGAGGAGAGTGAACGGGCGGTTTGGAAGAGGGTTAAGGGTGCTGGTGGTGGTGGGGATGAGGTTCCTGGGGGAAGAAGGAGACAGGAGGCGGGGATAAAGAAGGATGAGGAGATTCTCAATCATTATTGTGATATTGGGTTGGATGTCAAGGAGAGGAGGGAATGGGCGAGGGGCGCGTTGGGGGGTTGGTGTTTGTGTGAGAGGTGTGTTTGGGAGGCGGGGGAGAAGTGATTGTTCGGTGTTAGTTTGAGGAGTGTGGTTGGTTTGTGGATAGAGGACTTTGGGGTTGGTGGTTTTGGGATTTGGAGATGAACATAGAGATAGATATTAGATATAGTGGTGGATGATGATGATGATGACGATGAATAGATAGAGATACCCAGGTCGATGAAAAGAGAGAGATGATGTGGATGCTATTATGTCTCTATTGAAACCGGAGGTTTCGTAACCAGTACACTACTATCTTCCACTACTAACTACTCAGTACTAGTACTGAGATAGTCTCCCCATATGTCAGTGTATAATAACAGTAGTAGTTGTAAACTCATGTCTCCATCTTATACAACTACATCGGTCATAGCAGTACTAAGTACGTATGTTAACCACTGCAGTAATCTGATCACTACTGCTACCTAGTCCATATGATAACACTTATTTCTCTTACTTGTATACTGATGATATACTTTCGTGTCCGTTTGCAATACATCCAGGCGAAATGAGTATATATCAATACATCCTTAATTAATATAAAATAAAGAACCCCTTCCTTGAACTTGGAAAATCTTGGTTTCAATCCGGTATAGAACAACCAATGCCAAACCTAAACATATACCCTGCAAAAAATTTCATCTAAAAGCACTCTTCTCTCTCTCCCTATCACCTATTACATACATCCTATTCCCACCCTAATCGCGCACCCGACGGGGAGGCGTTCTAGACGGAGACCTGTGCCGTCTCGGCGGCGGAGACCGCGACGGAGACAACGAGTCAGAGTAGCGACGACGACGAGGGGGAGCATCGCCACGACGACCACCACCGCGCGGCGGGGTAGGGGAGCGCGAGCGCGAGACTGAAGCATCACGGGGGGCACGACGACCAGGCGGGGCACGACGCTCCGGAGTACGAGAACGAGAACGGGAAGGAGAGCGAGACGCGGAGACGCTCCTTTCGACCCGCCGGCGGGGAGGAGGAGACTCCGAGTACCGAGCGGCACCTCCGGCAGCCTGACGTGGAGGAGGGGAGACAGATCGGGAGACGGATCTGGAGTAGCTTCTGTCTCGGCGGGCGTGGGTATCTCGCTTGCTGCGAGGCGGAGGGGTGACGGACCGGGAGAGCGAGCGTCTGGGAGAGCGGGAATCGTAGGAGCGATCGCGTGTCCGGCGAGGAGGGGGTGTTGGGGACACGGAGGATCTTCTGCGGGGGGATCGACTGTATGAGACGGGGCGTCGGCGGGATTTGGGCGCCGGGGATCGGGACCTGGACCGCGAAGGGGTGTAGCTGTAGCTGCGGCGTGAGGATCCGGACACGGAGCGGCTGTAGGATCGGCCGCGGCTGACGGAGCGTCTGCGGCCACGGCCGGGGGAAGGAGAGCGGGAGTAGGAGTAGGAGCGGGAGCGGGAGCGAGAGCGAGGAGTACAGGTTGAGCAGCTGGTTGGGTGAGATACCACGGACTCGGAGTCGGAGTCGGCGCCGGCATCGCGTTGGGGCAATGCAGGCATCGTGGGCTTGGGGAGGTTTTTTAGGTGCTCGCGCATGTCCTCCGTCAGCATACCCATGCCGATACTGGTGAAGTAGTTGATTGAGAAGCGCGTGTTGCGGGGATTGTCCAGTGGGAAGAGGCCCTCGAAGCTGGGACGCAGGATCTCGTCCCGCATGCGTTCCTGCAGTTTGGGCAGGCCCAGGTGTTCTCCGAGGTCTTGGAAGAGGATCTTGATGAAGATACGGCTGCTTGATGTCGTCTCCTCCTCGTTCATGTGGATGATCGACATGACATGCCAGCCAATCGCGTCATTGCTAATCATATGGCCGAAGAAGCGGGCAATATTGCGGAGTCGGTTTGTCTCGTAGCGATGGATGGTGTCGTAGTACTTGGCAAATGCAGCTTCGAAGAGATCGGACCAGAGCCGGTTGATCTTTGCGAAGCGCTCTCCGATCAAGCCGTAGAACTTCGAATACGTGCGCTCCTGGGAGCAACACTCGATGATCATTGACGGGAGCTCGGGCTCGAGGCCAGCGGGCAGCGAGATCTTCATCAGCTTGTGACAGCATTCTTCGAAATCGATACTCGACATGATCGTCAGGTATATCGTCCTCCGCAGGTTCACGAGGTCTGTGTTGGTCTGGTCTTTAATGTCCATCTTCCGCTCTTCCTCCGACTCTTCATCGGAGCTCTCGTCTGACTCGTCTTCGTCGTCCTCCTCGTCATCACTTCCTTCACCCAGAATCTCTGCCTTCAATTTCTTGTAGGCCTCTTCGTGCTCCTCCCATTCGGCATCGTACTTGAAGATATTGAGGGAATCTTGTGTCTCAATCTCGTCATCGAGTCCGATCTGATGCGTTATTTGGTCTTCCTCCTCGATCAGGTCCAATTCTTCCTTGATCGCCGGGTTGTCCTTATACCTATCTTTCCGGACCTGGAACAACACCTCAATCATATACTGTACTCGCTTGTCGATGTCGGCTTCGTGAAGGATATTTCGGAATTGATCAAACACCGCCAGGGCAATAGGACCGCTCATCTCCTCCAGATGCTGACCAACCTCTCGAGTCAGGCCGACAGCAATCTCGACACTGTCATCCGTGGGCTTGTGAAGCAGCAAAAGAAGAATCTGCGCGGCCAGCATCTCGTGCGCGACCTGCTGGTTGCACAGATGGGCAATGAAGGTCGTGGAAGATATGCAGACTGCCTTGTCGTTTCTCTTGAACGCCTTTCGGAACTGGACAATGAGACGGTTGAGCAACAGCTCGCCGACTTGGGGCAGTTTGGTGTTCACAATAGCCGCCATGGCGGCGTAGATAGGTGTGAAGGGCAAACTGGCCGCCTGAGCTTTCATGATACTTCTGCAAAACAGACCGCGACCGCGCACCAAGTTCTCCCCAAAAAGCTCCGGGACGATAAACTTGATGTTGGAAACGTTGACCTTGTTGATGAGACCGTTGATCGACTTCTTAAGAGCCTCCCATGCCATCCGCTGGTACTCCTTGCTGGTCTTGTCCGTAATCTGCGCCTGCAGCGCCCGTAGTCGCGCAGGAGGAATATAGGTACCACCCGATCGCATGTTCAAAAGCTTCTCATATTCTGCTTTAGCCGCAGCCTGCTTTTCCTCCTCCGTCATTGGCTTTCGAGCAGCCTCCTGCTTCTCATGTTGGCGAAGGCGCTCGGCGAGCTGTCGCTCTCTTTCAATCGCGCGTTCAGGATCGATGCGCGGTGCATCCGCACCGTCTTTTAGTGAATCACCCGGGGGCGAGCGACGACGATTCGGCGAAGGAGACCGAGAGGGAGGTGAGCGTTTGCGGGAACCCGAGGCCTGAGGAGAGTAGGAAGTGCCTGGGGGCGGAGTAGGCACTCGCACCGCCGACTGCAAGACAACAGGGTCCGTCATGTTCCTTTGCAGTCCACCGAGGAAAGAATGAGCTGTCAGTCGTGATGTCCGCAGAGAACACGACGTTGAACTGAAGCTCCATCGGGATGAGGCGTGAGGCGGCGAAGAAAGGTCTTAGCGCGTCGTCGGTCACGTGAGAGATTAGTCGCCAGGCTGGCGCCGGCCGCTCTCTACTATCGCCATGGGATGAGGAAGTGCCAAACAGACCAGCCGCCATCGTCGCAGCAATTGTCACGCAAAACTCTCCTGATAGCGCATCATCATTATGGTATTACTACTCGCGTCCTACCCTACAGCATTTGGAAACGTTTGAAAACGCTGACTTGAACTGCGCCGTAGCTGGGACCTATCGTCGGATCCGCCATGCTCCTGGTCGCTACTGCGATCTTTCTTTACTACACCACCTGGACTCTGTTGATGGTATGTCTTCGCACCTGGGTATAATTGCTTTTCTACGACAACTGTTAATCACTTTGCTAGCCCTTCGTCGATCCGGGTCACCCTCTCCATGATCTCTTCCCTCCCCGTGTCTGGGCCATTCGCATCCCCGTCTTCCTTACTCTGCTTGGTTCCGCCGTGGTTGGCACGTTCATAGGCATTGTGATGATCAACAGCAACAAGAAGAAGGCAGCGAAGGCTAAGGCCGCGGCCAAGAAGAAGACCTAAGCTTCCCAACAAAAAGAAAACCGACGTGGCGTTTGGAGGATGAGTTGGGTGGTGAACATGGCGACTCGAAACAGGTGGCATCATCTTATTCTGCATGTAACATTAGTTTTTTCTGTCCTTGTTCTTTTCAAGCTTTCCCCTTGATTGGGTTGTTCTGTCATCGCAGCGTTCAATTACACCATCCGCATTCCTCGCATTCTGCAAGCGTGCCGCGTGGTGAGGTAGGAAGGGGGAGGCCACGGCAAGTGACGAGCGTAGCTCCGGATGCTGCCCGGTCACTGGGTGAAGCGTTCCTGGTTTCTCTTGTGCCTTACCCAGGGCAACAGGATTCATTGCTTAGCCGAGTCTATGCGTTCCCTTCCAAATGGCCATAGCCACCATGTAATCTTTCAGTCACGGGCAGGTCCCAACCGATGACGATTGAGGGGGACCTTACAGACGATGGCAGTGCTCTTTCGCCATGCAGCCCCGTGACTCACTCCCGGCAACCAGCCACATCTGGCATCGGTTCTACCGCATTCCGGGCCTGGAACTATGTGATTGGTCTGAGAACTATTGGCGGCTAGACCGTTGGGGAGGGGACCCATCCAGGGAAACGGCCACCCATGAATAGAAGGTCCGGCCCAACTTGCTTCGGGTTTCAGTTCCAGCTGGCCCTGGGACGACATGTTCTGTTTCGTTCCGGTGGTGGTGGTGGTGGCTGGCTGTCTGGCTGCCGTGCCCAGGGCCTTCACGTGATGAGACTGAGCCGTGTTTTGGACGCCAGAAGTTTGCAGTGTTTGTTGGAAAGGGTACCCCTCATGCAGGCAGTTCAGGACCAATGGGGAAAGGCGCCCATGGCGTGTGTAAGAATCGTGGGTTCTCCGCCTTACGGGGTAATAGCCAATACGGTACGGTAAGTGCAGATCATCGGATGCCTCCTAATTCCAGGTCCCAACCCACCTGCCTGGATGGGTGGACGTGGGAGTTGGACGTGGGAGAAGAGACACGGTAAAGAGGGGAAGGATCCATCCCATCTGCAATCTAATTACTAGAGACCATGTATCATGTAGGAACCTTACCCGACTGCGTCATGTTATGACGGTCATGCCTGGCCGCATCCCCCACTAGTAGCCAATGATCACTGGAGCCCCGTCATGTGGTGGCCCTGGAACCTTATGGGAAGGAACGACGGGGGGTGGGAAAACTACTAGGGGAAACTACCATGGACTTTTGGGGGGGGAAAGTGACTGATAGGAGATAAGTCCGGCGTCGTAGTCAGCCTACCCATGGAGATGTCATCCATGCTCCTGACCTGATCCGGTTCCCCTCCCCCTCCCTCTTTCTCTTCTCTCTTCTTCCCTTTGCTATTCTGTCGCCAGAACAACTTCTACTTTACTTCAACCACTTCCCGGTTGTCTGTTACCTCAAATCTAGACGCGTCTGTTGATCCGTCACTGTATCTATCTGCCCCGACTACTATAAGTGGTCAACAACCTAGACAGGCGGTATAAGCAGTGCTTCCGACCTGTCGTGTTTACACACCCACCCTCCGGCGTGTCCACGGATCTCCGCTCCAGATACGCTGTTCTCTCCGTTCATCCGGCACGGCCGTTGTAACTAAACCTCTTGCTACGTCTGTTTCTCGACATTAGTGGCACTGGAACCAACTGTAACTCCCCCTCCTGGAGCATCAGTTACCCGCTATTTTGAGACTTCTGCTGATAAGCGTTGCTGGTCGATAGAACACAACTCCACGGGATTCCTCCGGCAGTGAATCCATACTACCCTTGCGAGTGTCGTTGCCGGTCGACCACACCGTCAGAACCTCCGTTCTCAGCCCGGTCCAAGGGTTCTGAGAGCGGCTGCCCCAACTGAGTCCATATTGCCTCTGAGAGGCAATCCCTTTGAATGCCACCGGCAGCTTCGGACGATTTGTTTCGCCAGCAGAGCCGGTCCTTAGGTGACACCAGCCCCTTTCCAGAAGATCCCAGTCGAGCCACTTTGGAGCATGATCTCGGTGGAAAGACCAAGAAAAAGGGGAAAACCGGAACCAAGGGGAAGAATAAAGCAGCCAAAGCAATCCCGAAGTCTACACCTGACGACCTGTAAGTCTGAGTCTCTCCACGTGTCTAGAAGGATCTTGAATCTAGGCGGACAGTTGGCTGACTTGAGTTCACGCGTGGTATGCAGTCTAGAAGCAGAAGCACCGTCACCGTCACCGCCTCTGCAGGCTGAACCATCGTCCTGCCCCAATCCAACACTGGAGCCGCCACCTAGCAACAATATCGTGTCACCGGTACTTGATGCCCTTGGCACTCTGGGGGACTCTCCGGAGAATGACATTGCTTACCGCACCGGTACTTGGGCCAAGTCCATCCCGTATGGCAAAAGTCCTCCGAATGATGCCGTTGATGGCGAGTTCAACAGTGGGTCTCCCTTCGGTTTCCTCACCAGTCAAGACAAAGGCGGATTCAGCCACCCCTCTTCGACGTCTCCCCCTCCGGGAGCAAGGCCCTTGAGCTATGGGCGGGGTTACGCAACCAGCAGTGTGTCTAGACAGCACTCCGTGGACCGACAAAAGAGCAACTCCGTCAGTAGCCCATTTAACAACCAGGCACCCCTACCGCATCTGCCGCAGGCCCATTTCTATGGCGCGCCAGATATCGATTTGCCTCTGTTCTCTGGCCAGAATAGGGCCGCAACCGACGGTAGTTATTCATTCTGTGCGTTCGATACGATCATAAGCCCGCCATCCAAAGCCTCCAGGATGGGAAGTAGCGTTCTCCTGGTCGGCACGGATGGCGGCTTGGATATTCTTGCCATTGAAGATCGAAAAACGCGCCCTGTAGGGAAGTTGGCAGGTCTCAATGGCCGCGTAATTGAAGCGAAGTTGCTGAGCAACACTTCAACTAATGACACGTCTATACATTCCCGACCTCATATCGCTGTCATCATTCACGGCCCCACTGCTCAACCAGATGATGAGGGCCATGCATCCTCCAATAGCTCGGAAGCAAATGATATTCCCACTGGAAGACAGTCGGCCGCTGGAGGGCGTCCGAAAGAAGAGACCAGGTTTTACCAGACACGGGTCGAGGTGTATTCTTTAAGGACCGGCGAGCACATCACAACGCTTCTGTCCACGCCGCCCACTCCCTGCTTTGGCAATATACCTGGTCTTCCTGCCCTGGCTCCTTCACCGGCCGGGAATCTCAAGCTCTTTGTGAGCGGAAGCTACGTTGTCGTAGCATCCGGTTCCAGTGGGGAAGTCTACATGTACAGCATGAGCAATTATCAGTTTCTAGGAAAGGCATGGACCAGTATCAAGTCAAAGGAATCTCGGCGATACTCCACGTCCTCCAGCTCGACTGACCCAGATGGATCTCAATCCGAATCTCCTCATGGATCTCTCAACTCTGATAGTCCTATCGTGGCATTGAAGGGAAGATGGCTAGCAATTGTCCCACCATCCGCAACTTACAGGGCTACTCTCCGTGCTGCCGTGCCGACGTCCTTGTTGCAAGGGAAGGCGTTCGGGCTTGAGACTCGAAGTCCCCCGTCGCGTCCGGCTATCACCTGCGCTACTGATGTCGGAGAGGGCGAAAGCTTTTTCGGCAAGGTAGCCCGGGGCGTTACCCAGGAGCTCATGCGAGGTGCACGGTGGATGGGTGACCAAGGACTACAAGCCTGGAACAATTACTGGAATAAGGAGCAAGCTCAAAGCATGCCAGCACGCCGCTCTCCTAATTTGACGGAGTTTTCACCTCAGGGGTACAATCTCTTCCCTCCCACCCATGCCCAGGACACCCAGTCTGTGTCCACTACCGAACCTGATTTGGTATCAATCTTCGATCTGCGAAAGCTAGAGGAGGGCGAGGCCAAGAGTTCTTTGTTCAATCCAGTGGCCACTTTTCAGGTGCCGAATGGCTGCAGCTTCCTTTCATTTTCTCCCAACGGTCTCATGTTATTTACTGCCAGTAAAAAGGGAGATGTCCAGTATGTTTGGGATGTTATGCAGGCTAAATACTGTCGAGCCGGGGCTTTCATGTCAGACGATCCAGCATCTGTGCAGCCGAGCGTGCGGCAGATTGCCCGGTACCCGCGATTAACCACGTCCCATATAGTTGACGTGGTCTGGTGTCCGCCGTCTGGGGACAAGCTCGCAGTGATTACGGGTAAACCGACGGTGCATGTTTTTGACTTGCCTCGGAGCGCCTTTCAATGGCCTCCTTTTCGACGATCTCTACCAAAACCTGCGAAACCGCCTACTGCTGATGCTCCGGCAGAAGAGCTTCCCGACCGGGGGCCGGCTGCGAATCCATTGTCGGCAGCCTTCAAGATGGTCGGCGGTAAGACGCAGCCCATTCTTGCCGCAGTCAGGGGGCGTACTCCCTCCACCGGGGCCGCTTTCCCCTCCGTGGGTGGCTTTGCAATGCCTTCTGCAGCTGGAGTAAGAGGGGGCAAGGCGGTTGCTGCTGGCCTTAGTAAATCAATGGGGGCCGCCGCCACCGGCACTGTCAAAACGGTCAACACCATCCGACATGGTGGTGAACATCGCCTGCACCTATCCAATCTTTCTCGGGACCCCGTTGCGGCTCGTGTGACATGGATCATCCATAAAGGAATGCCATTCTTGGGCCTGATAGATGGGGGTTACTTCCGTCTGTACAGGATTAAACGCTCCACCTCACCCAGTAAGAGTAGGCAGGTGCAATCGGTGATCGGAAACAAAGAACTTGAGTTCCGCTTGCCTCCCCATATGCAGACACCTTGCGGTCCCATGACCGTGGGTCCCGCCGCCACCACAGAAACAACGGTCTCTGCAACATTGGCTCTGCCATCCGCGGCGCTACGACCGCCGCCAGCGTCGAAGCTCAAATGCCAGCCTCTTTCGCAGGCGGAGATCGAGACAAACACACCATATCAGCCTTTCCACACCGACCAGAGGGTAAACCTCTTTGTGTACAGTGAGGCCGACGACTCCGTGGGTTCAGTCCCGACGGGTCAATGGACCTTCGGCGGCTCTCTAGCCACTACGAAGCTTCACGTACGACCGTTCAGCGCCTCCAGCGAAGAAGACGATGACATGGTACATGAACAACACCACGGGTTTGGAGCTGAAATGGAGAATCTAATCAGCCTGGGAAATAGTACGGGCAATGTGGAAGAAGTGGTCATTACTACACGCAGGAAGAAGAAGCAGGCTTCGGCCATGGCCCCGGGTGGCGGGGTCGATGACGGCTTCTTTGAAAATGACTGCGAGGTCTTGGACTTCGCTCGGGACCGAGTCTAATCGCGATAACCACAATTACCATGCCGCTGGCGGGGCTCTATAAGATTTAAACTAATATCTGTCACATTCTAGACTTACACTGGTATGGCGTTGGTGTGATTGGGATTTAGGCTCGCTCATTTCCGCTCTTGCTTTGGTTGTCGCTCCATACGAACTTCATTCTGGTATGCATTATTGCTTTGCATGAATTATGGTTTGATGCAATATGTCCGAATGTCTCATGCCAGGGATTCTCAATCTGCAGAGACAGAGGCGAAGATCCATCAAGTCGTTCTGCACGTCAGGGGTCAATGACATCGAAAACTCTCTCTTTTACTGCAAAGAGGCAGTTCGACATTTTGTGAATGCACTCGCTACCGTTTGTCCCTACACCCGCATCAAGGCGGACGATGTTGTACTTGCATGAGCTCAATCCCTTGGCGGGATCACGGGTTGATGCCAACTTTGTGTCCGCTGGGTACATGTCGGACATGCACTCATTCGTTCTCTTTCTGCCTGCACCGCTGTATTTCCATGCATATTTCCGTGGTCATTCGATGTTACAATTGATGTTACATACCCAATGCTGTCCTGTGAGCCAGATAGATGAAACCATGTGGGCGTTAACAGTAAAGTACATACATATATAGGTAAAATAGACATGTGCTTGAGTATTAAACAATGGGAACGTCATACATGGACGAGAAGAAGTCATCAATAAATTCGCTACTAACCGATGTCTTTCGAAGAAACCTATAATTGATTCCGTTTCCCCTGCTCATACCCCATCATGCCAGACAAAAAGGCCTATCAAATACAGTACCATACCGTATACACATGATGATGATGATAAACAAAACAAACTACAAGTATGGATCTGCAGTGCACGATGATCACCCAACAGTTTACCGTGCCCGAGCCCGAGACCCACCTAGGGGTCGTGATGAATATCAGTGGGTATGCGGGGTTGAGTACACACCATATGTCAAGTGCCACGATAGTTTTATTACCAGATATACAATAGTTGAATGATAGGCTCAGTTATCTTGCCTTACATGTAGCTACCTAGAGCGGTCATTTGGGATTGTTGTGGACTGGGAAAATATAGTACATGGTGGTGGTTCAATCTAAGTGGGTTCTTTCGAGATGGATTAATGCCATGTAAGTGAAAAAAAACATACCACTGAAATATATGAGTGCTAGTATAGAAAATCAGTCTGGTATGATACTAGGTGGAAAAGGGACGAATGATCAATCAATAGAATTTAGTTGGTCGGTATACTAATCTCCAGAGTATCAAGTGAAAGCCATGCAAATAGTAGCAATCAAGTTAGTTATTAACCCCATGAGTAAGATAAGATAAACAGGTAATAGTAGTTGTGACAAGTTCCCATATTAGCTAAATTCCCGTAATCAATCAATCAATCAATCATATTAACACAAGCGCTGGATTAAGTGTGCAGTAGACAGGTAGCTTTCTCCCCTTCCTCCATTCGTACTGTAGTCATCGATCAAGGCTTATTATTTAGCTCATTTACAGAGCCCAAGCAGCCAGGACGAATCCAAGTACACCAGCAGCGGAAACGCCCAGCTTGAGCTGCGCAACAGCAGCGGCGTTCTCGGTGCTGCTGGCATGAGCGCCAGTTGCGGTGCTAGTTCCGGAGGAGCCAGACTTGGAGTTAGAGTCTGTTGTTAAAGGTGGGGTTAGTCATAGAGCATGGGCAATATAAGAGGAGGTAGAAGTGGACGTACTGGAGCCGGTCGACGAAGAGGAGCTTCCACTCTTCGTGGTGCTGGCGTCGTTGGAGCCGGCAGTGGTAGCGGAAGAGCCCGACGCTCCCGTGGCACTGGCGGGAAAGAAGTAGCTGCTGTAGCAGCTGCTCTGGCAACTGGCGTAGGAGCGCTGGTCGCTGGGGGAGCCGGAGCCCTGGGGGCAGGCAGCAACGCAGCTGGTGGTGTCGTTGGCCATGGCGTTGTCGGGGCAAGGAACGCTGTAGCAGTTGGCGATGCAGCAGATGTCGGTCTCAGCGCCTGGAAAATGTTAGTCAATTTGCTTATGGTCGAATTGTTTGTTGTGGCTGATGGATGGAGTGTAGAAGACACAGGTGGTTGGGGTATGCGGACGGAATCGAAGAGGAGAGCTCAGGATGCCGAAATGATATAGATAGGAACAGCAATAGAGTAGAAAGAAACTTACACTTGGTGGCGCAGGAAGCCTGAGGAGACAAGCTAGCAGTGGTCGTCGCGGCACTGGTAGTGGAGGAAGAGTCCTGGGCGACGGCGAGAGCCAGGAGGGAGGAGAGAGCGATAGCGCTGTTGAACTTCATCTTGACGAATGGATCGAGGAAACGACAGACGTTTAGATTGACTGAAGTGTAGAAGCAAGTAGCGAAACGAGCGCGACAGACAGAGTAGCACGAAACGAAGGACTGTGAGGGAGGAGAGGAAGAAAGAAAAGGAAGAGGGGGAAGGCAGACGAGGTGAAAGGGAAAAAGACGGGCTGTAAATAACGGGCCAAGGATGCGAGGCGAACAATGGACCGGGAGAAAGTTGCCCAAGCGTATCAGGCGATATGCTGGGATTCACCGCGCCTGGCACCAAATTAGGGTCATCCAGCTGTCGGTTCGCCAGTTGCGATTAGCGGGGTTTCAGCAGGCCGTCAGAGTCGCACAGGCTAGTGCTGGATTCCTCAAGAAGCGTCTGGATAAGTGGATTCACTGGGCCGGAGCTAGTCCACACCCTTACATTTGGTGGCAACTCAATAACATCGGAAAGAGGCATCTAGTCTACAGGGTGGATGTGGAGGCGCCATTCGTGGAGTCGGACTTGGGAATTTTTTTGGTTTGGAGCAGGTGCCTACGAGATGGGGAGAGGGAAAGAGAACAGCGCGAAGCACAGTCCAGGTTTTGGACCCAGTCCTTCAATTTGGTGGTCGAGGACCAGCCGAAGTGGTGAAGAGTGAGCAGCCAGTCAACAAACACAGACCCTGAAAATCTGGGGACTGCAAAGGATCGGCTAAAAATAACCCTAGACAAGAGAGGCAGTCCCAAGGGTCATTTCAAGGCACTAATTGCACTACTCCAACGCTAAGCAGGTTGCTGCTAAGCTAGTAAGAGCTAGACGGTCTCCCGCTAATTCCATATTAGTCCGTCACTGTCCACCATCCGGTCTTATCAGTGGATGGGGTTGAGACAGCGCATCCGAATAGGTGGAGAGCACCCATTCATTGGTGGGCTGATCTGTCAGAAAGTGTCATGCGAACACACTGGAATGCACTAGATATCAGGTAAAGAGGTGGTTGGACTTGGGCAAGTCGTGTAGGCACCACGGTCAAGAATAGGGGCCGGACTTTGGAAAGGGATTCTGTCAGATTCATCGACAGTGGAATTGCTTCTTCAGGCATAGTGTACCTCGGGCAGATCCGACAGGCCTTGTCCAAGGCGAATCATTCTTTATCCGCTCAATAATAACTACTACTTACAACCACCACAAAAGATTGGGATGGAAAGAATCCGGAGTACTTCCATCCATTCATTCATCCATCCTGACCATCACGTGCCCATCCTCAACATTCTTGGACTGTTTCGACGCCCAATTATTGACAACCTGGAAACCTTGTCCGAGTTAGAGCTTCCCATCACTGTCATCCCAATTCAATTGATCGACTAATAGGCCTTATTCTAACAGCGGCTATTATACTGGCGCTATTCCTTTAGAAAGCGCTGCCCCTTTTATACAAAAGCAAATATTTAGCTACACTTATCGACGCCCTCTGAAGAGCCCGAACTTTGAGACCAAGTCCGGTTGAAGCTACTGAACCGATTGGCTTGTCGATTCACTATACTTCCAAATATCGCTAATAGTTCGATTTTAGACGACAGATACTAGTCACAGATATATATGCAGGCTCACAGCTAATGACGGGTCCTGATACGGAGGATGCCACGGAGGGTCGAAGGGGAGGGACCTAGAGGCAATGATTACACTGACACTCTGCTACTGGCTTCGGCATCAATAGAGTTTAATTGGTGTTTGAGATCGCAGGCAAAATGCCAATAGCTCCTACAAATTGAAGCAGCACTATTTTACCTCAAAGCAACTAACTCTAATAGCCCGGCATGATTCTTTCGCCGCGGGAGGGATTGGGATGACAGTACCGAGTATGGAAGCTGAAGATCTCATAGATACTTGGTCATAGTCAACACAACCACTGTGGTACCGCTAGCTAGAACAGTTTTGCAGAAATATTGGAGTAGAATATGCCTTAACTAAGACTTAACAAAATTATTCGGAGAGCTCCCTCGCCGGTATCCTGCCACGTGTTTTGGAGGCCTTCCAGTAAGCATCTCGTAACCAATATCCCTGTAATAACTCCATCTCCAAGCCTCCCACATCCTACTAAGAGTACCTGGGGCCAACTACTTAAGTGTGTCGAAGGCCAAGACAATCCCGGCCGGTTTGAAACTCGTAAGGTTTTACTTCAAGCGTTCCTTGGTCGATCATGAGCCTGCTGTACTCCGTATATGCAGCGTGCCTGTTTGACAGGGTGAGTGCAGATGCAGGTTCTGAAGACCTACTGAGCACTAAATTTTTTCCCCTACTCTCTAGTAGTTGTGTATATGGGGTGCATATCTGCCCCTATTTACTACTCTGATTCCTTGAAGCTATAATTGTCGGTGTTCCTTTGTCATATCGCCCAAGCAACCGCAAGAGTGTGAAATTGATTAGAGTTCCTTTCAACAAATAAAAGTTGAGGTTAGGCACCAGCTC